GTAGAGCTTCAGGGTGGGCGGCACAGTGTCGGCCGTGCATGCGTTAGGAGAAGTCGAGGTCGAAGTCGAAGTCGAAGTCGAAGTTGAAGATTGGCCGACGAAAGTCGAGGTTGAAGCTTCGGTGGAGGTTGAAGCTCGAAACAGCGACTTTCCGGTACGGCCAGCGGCGGCGGAAGAGGACGAGGTCGAAGACGAGGACACCACGCGAGGACGCTTGCTCTTGGAGCTGCCGCCCTCGGTGTCATCGCCATCATCATCGCTGACCTTCTCTTCGGGCTTTTCACCACCTTTACCATTCACCACCACCACCACCTCCTCCTCCTCCTCCTCCTCCTCTTCGTCGTCGCTGTCGTCCAGGATGATGATCTCCTCTTCGGTGGTGGTGGCTGTTTCAGCTGGAGCGCGGCCGCGCTTTCGACATTCAAAGAGCTTCTGCAGGGAGGCCATGTTGCCGGGCCCCTTACTCAGCAGCTCAGCTTTGGCTGAGAAGTATCCAGCTGCCTGCGAAGAAAGTCCCGCCAGACGAGCACCACCACTACAACCGGTGTTGCCTACCGTCTTCTTGCTCATCAACTTCCCCGAGGCCTCGATGTCCTTCAGATTAAGCTCGAGAACGTAGTTGACCGCCTGAAATATTAAGATAGAACAGTTCTAGGCTTTAAAACATCAAAACATGATCCTACCTCGTCCATGGCGGACTGGACCTTTGGCGAGTGGCGGTCAATCAGCCCCTGCAGCTGCTGGCGAAAGTCATTTCGACTTAGCGAGCGCACCTTCGGATCGACGACGTAGTCAAAGAGGTCGCCGACGAAGTCGTCGGTCGCCTGGTGCAGGTTCTGCTTGTAGAACTCCTTGAAGGCCTGCAGCGTCTTCGGCGAGTAGACCATGGTGGTGATGTTTGGCAGTTGCTGGAGCTGCTGGCGATGATCTTTGCGGTGATGGAAAGTGATGACACAAATGATAGTGATCCTTTTTTGTCCAGAAATCTCGAGAGGTGGTGATCCGGTTCGGTGATTTCCAGGGAACAAAGCGAGAAAGAGCGAGAGATTTTCTAAATAGCAAACGACCCAGTAACGTAAAGAGAACGTCAATTTGAGAGGGAAACGTGAAGGCAAAACAACAAAACAGCCGCCGCACTGCGCCGTCGCCGCTCTCACGTGACCAGCCAGGTTGCCGGAAAGTGTGCTCCCCTCACACACTGTTACGATACGGAAAGATTGCCCAGCGCGTGATCAGCTTTTTTGAGTGTTCCACTTTTCATCGCCATAGTCTTCAACACTTTTTTTGTCGATTGCATCAACCAAAAGTTCTTCAAAGACCACTAGCTGATCACACACACCCACACAGCCACGATGGACGACGCCGATGCGATGATGATGGACTTGCTCTTTGCCAGCCACAAACAGGAACTCCTGATGCTCCTGCTGACGGCGGTGAAGCAGGAGCCGGTGGACGAAGAAGAAGAAGAGAAACCGGTCCTTTGCAACGCTCAATCATCTTCGAATCCTGCAAACCTGCTCCCACCAAAGGTGAGGGCCCAAATCGAAAAGACCCTCTCCGAGCTGCTCTCCCAGGTGAAGGGGGTGATGGTCACCTCTTCGGCGGTGGCGGCCATGGTCGACTCGCTCTTCGGCAATCACCGGCAGATTCTCCTGCTCAGCCTGCAGACGGCGGCCCTGGAGGCGGAGAAGAAGAACCAAAACAACAGTGTCGCTAGATCATCACTGGCTGCTAATTCGCTTCCTCACCTCTTCCCACCACACGTGGAGGCCATCATCGAGAACACCTTCACGGAGCTGCTCGCCCAGGTGAAGACGGCGATGAAGCCTGCTGCTCCGCCAATGATCAACAACAACAACAACAACAATAACAATAGCCCTAACAAAGCTTCTCAGAACAGTGATCGTTCCCGCAAACGAACCTTGATGATTGATCTCACCAAAGAAGTGGACAATGATGATGACCAAAAGGTAAAGCTTGAACCAGCCGTGAAGAAGGTAAAACTTCGATTGACGCCCAAAACGAAGAAGGAACAGGAAAAAGAGGCCGCAAAGATAGCGAAGCAAAAAGAGGCCGCCAGGAAGAAGCAAGAACGGGAAGAGGATAGGGCGCTGAAGAAGGCAGAAGCGACGTTGAGGAAGCGCGAAAAGGAAGCTGAAAAGGCAAAGAAAGCACAAGAGGCGGCGAGGAAGAAGCGGGAGAAGGAGGCGGCAAAGATTAAAAAAGAACGCGAAGCGGCGAGGAAGAAGCGCGAAAAGGAGGCGGCAAAGGCGGCAAAGGCTGCGAAGAAGAAGAAGAAGAAGAAGGACAAACCATCGGTGAAGGAGGTCAATAAGAAGGTCAAAGCAGCAGTGGTGAAAGATGAAGTCAAGGAGGAGGAGGAAGAGGAGCAGGTGGAGGTGAGGCTGCCGAACGGCACCACCTTCCCCCGGAAGTTCGGCCCGGTGAGCGCCCAGTGCCGATCGGTTTCGAAGCACGGCCGCTGCCACATCGCCCACTGCGAGGACGGGCCACACTGCGATAGCAACAGCACCGCCGTCCACCTCGCCCGCCGCCACCTGGGCGTCCACCCGTACCGCTGTGTCTTCGACCGCCGCCGCCGCTGTACCTTCTCCGCCAACTACCGCAGCAATGTCCTCGATCACGTTCTAGAGGAGCACCTGGCGGGGGCGGCGCAGTTGACCGGCGACCGGGTGGCCGACCGGAGGCTGGCGCGCTCCTTCTGCCAGGTGATTCCACTCGCCGAGCTGCAGCGAGCCCACTAGTGGTGAAGCTGCTGGCCGAGCTGAGCTGAGCTGAGTTCGATTTACTATACATGAGATTATTATGATACTAAATTACTCGCTGAGATTCTCTCTTTCTTTCTTTCCCTTCTTATTCCCACCGAAATCTTTCCCCTTTTTCCCTTTTTTTTCATTCTCACTTATTCCAAAGTCTAACACATACACACGCAGTTCTTGAGTCAAATCTGAAATAAATGATCCACGAGTCACGTGATCTCCTTTTTTTGTTGTTTTCTGCTGAGCAAAGTTTTGTTTTCCTACAAAGTCTATGTCAGTGCTTGTGCTACAAAGTGCACACAGATCAAGTACTTTCTTCTCAATGTTCGCACCTATCCCATTATCTCCGAACAGAAACCGAAAGAAGAACAAGAACAAGCTGCTCACAATCCTCTTGGCCTTTCACTGAGAATTTTTTATTGAAGAGCTTCTGCTTTCACTGTAAACAAAGAACAAAACAGCGCTCTTTTCTGTTATGTTATGAAACTGTCATCGAGAAACAGGACAGCACAGTAACAAAGAACATTGGCAAATATTAGCTCGCTGAAAATAATAAAAAAAGATTTCACCTTTCAAAATTCATGTACACTTTTAGAGAGTCAGTTGCAATCAGTCTTGCACACATTGTTTTGTCTTCTTCTTTTTTCTACTTCGTTCAAACCTAAAATCAATTACAGCGAACAGGTACTACAAAC